AAATAGCTTTTCTAAAAATAGATGCGAATAGTGAAAATATTTATATTTGTTCGATTCATGTGTAAACAAGTGAGCAAATATTATTATCTTATAATAAAATTTTGAGAAGTTTAATTTCTGTTTGTCTTCATTGCAAATACGAAAAACTCGCGAATATATATGAATATAAAAATATCATATAAATATCATAAAAATATAAAATAAAAAATACTATTAAAATATAAAACATTATGATTTGATACTTTTCACGTAGAATCTTCATAAAATGATATCGTTACATGAAAGATATGCAAGATCGTTTTGATTAAAAATTTTAGAACATTAACATATATATGAAATTTAAAAGTGTGCATAAATTTTATATGACTTGATATATATAGTTATTTTTAAACAAAGCATGTCTAAGATGAAGAAAAGATATTTTTTATTTATCAATTTACATAATGAATTTTTTTACTTTTGAGCATTTCTTTTAACGTAAACATAGTGCTTGTTGTCTGAGCAAATGTTTGAAAAATATGCATATACACGGATTCCAAGAAGCTTTGAATATTTATTTATAATTTCTTTTGCATCGTATGTGATGATAATTACTAAAAATTTTTTGTGTTTTATATAAAACCAATTTATACATATTTATATAGAGAATTTTCAATGATTTTTTTGTAAAGTATAATGTAAATAATGTAGAGTATAATGTAAATAAGATTTTGATAAAAATTATTTTGTGTTGCTAAATTATCTGGTAATTACATAAATAAATAAATAAATAGATAAACGATTTATTTTAAAGATAATATTTTTTTCTCAATTTAATTATTTGTAAATAAATAAAAAATATCCTTTTAAATGTATTTTATAATATAAAAAATTTCTAAAATATATAGAAAACTAAATAATTCAGATTTAATTACACATTAATTTGTTATTATCTTTATAAAAAGAATTAAAAAAAATAATTGTATGTATAAAAAATCATGTTCTGTTGTTCTATTTAAATATATTGAGGGATTTTTATTTCTGCTTGACGATATATTATATAATTTAATGGCATTGTTTTGAACTCCATTAAAATCTTGATATTATTTAGATTTTTACCATTAAATTTTTTCTGCAATAAAATATGTATGAGTTTTGCGATTCATTGTATTGATGATAAAATATATTTATACAACGTAAATTTATTGAAATTTATTTAAATTTTTTAAATATTTCTTGTCTTTTTGATTGTTTTGGTGTATGCAAAGTAATATTTTTTAAAAAATATGAGAATATAATGTATTTTCATATTTTATAATGTATTAATATTAATTTTTATAGTGACATTATTTTTAATTTTTATGAATGTAAATATTGATTACACTTATTATTAAGTGCAATATGTCATGTTAAAATTATAAAAAAATATTTTCTATGTTGATTAAACTTATCAATTGCTTTAATACTTGCTTTCTAAATTTCTTAGATGATTCTAAAAGTGATAATTTGTTTAAAATATTATTAACCTCCTTTATTTTACGTTTTCAATTATTTTTTTGTGCCAGAAAATGCGTGTATAGAAACTGAAGCAAGTGTTTTAAAGAGATTTCAAACGATGCTTCTGTAATGCTTATTTTTAAAATACGCAAAGAGTATATTTTCTCAAGTCATACGTGAATTGTAAATATGTGCAGACTTGCATTTAGATACAAAAAGTTGGTACGAATGCAATCCTTGCATAATTTTCCACTACTGTTGCGAGAAATGTATTATTATACAAACTACTGTACTTACTAGATACTTTTTCTTAAGTATTACCTTTCTAGTAATAAGTATTGCATTTCTTTACTTAAATCAGAGATGTAATCTATTTCCTTTTTATTAGTTGAAATGATTAAAAATTAAAGCAAGTTAAATATGTTTACCCTTTGTATTATTTTTATGTGTCAAATTTATTGAAACTTTTGTCTAAAAGATTCTTCTCTTTTTTACATAACTTTTTCGTTATTGCTTAATTTCCCCGTTAAGTTTTCAATTAATTTTTTTGATATTGTAAAGACCGCCATAAATTGACTTTTAACTGGAGGAATAAATTTTCTTTTAAAAAGATCTAAGTTCAGGAATTTAATAGGATTATGCACGTGATATTTTATATAATATTTAAACATAATACACGTGGCACGATATTATTACAATATTACTTGTTAAAATGTTAGACAGAATTGGAATTTGAATACGAATTTGTAATTGTAATTTTGTAAGCATTCATTTACATAGCATATTATTTTATTTTTTTGTACCTTGTGTTTTTTATGCTAAGACTGAAACTTAGAAGAAAAACTTACAGTATGATATAATTGTTACAAACAGCTATTGTTAACGCTTAATATATTTCAACGTTGTAACAAGATCGCGTGTTGATACGCGTACGTAATCTTATTCATATAACATAATTAAAGCGGAATGTTTTAACGGTATACTTTCACATCGCAGTGGTTTAATGAGATCGCGCGCTTTTTTCAGATTCAGATTTATTGTTGACCGCCGCACATTAATTCACCGCGGCAAGAACTCGATCTACGAATGACGCATCTCATGTACCGGTGCATATGAGTTATTTATACGGAACACGGCCGATTACATACACACGGTGGCTGTTTTAAGTCGCGTCTCGTGAGACTTTCACCATTCGTGTACTTTCACCATCGAAAATTAGCACCGTCTATTTCGCCCATGCTCAGGAGAGGTGCGCGCGATTAGGTTGTCCCTGTGACGAGCGTGAATTCGGTTATCCTGCAATTTAGAGATAACTAACCGAATTTCCACTCGTCCAAACGAGTTTAAAAACGGTATTTTTTACCGTTAATCGGCCGCTGTACATCTGAAACGTTCACATCAAGCAACTCAAATTCCTCTGAGATACCTCGATACTTGACCGAATTCACGCTTTTGATTTCAGCATTAACAATTATATTCACTTTCATATTACATTTTCGCTTCTGAATAGTCAATCAAATAGCTCAGTATTACAGAAAATTAGATTTATGTAATAGTTATTATTGAATTGAGTTTATATGTGTAATAAGTGATAATTTACGTATAACACAATTTATATAAAAGATTATGTTTATCGAACAAGTGGATAATGGACTATTTATATATAATATAATATAGATTTATTTATTTCATTTATATAATTGAGTTTGCATTAAAGAATTCCTAATATTATCGAGGTTAATCTTAAATCACTCATTTCTATAATTTTATATATATGATAAATTAAATATAAATACAACAAAATTTAAATATTAATAACCATTATATACAAATTATACATTTAAAACTTAATTATTAATAATTAATTGTTGGTGTATTAAAATCTATGCAATATTATTTTTAATTAAATTAACAATTTGAAAAGATTTACAATTTTTTGTTTTACAAAATCAGTTTTATAATATAAAATATATAAATTAATGTTGAGACTATGAACGAGATTTAGTTTTATTTTTATTTTTTCAAGAGATTAAAATAAAAAGAAAAAATTAATAAAATCCAAGTTAGTAAAAAATGATTTATCTATAATTAACTAATTAATTAATTTAGTTATATCTACATATGATTTTTTTATATTTTAAAATAAGAAAATAAAAAAGAAAATATGTTATTAATGTTAAATTTTAATTCCTATTTAAAATTAAATAGGAAAAAATTGATAAAAATGATATTAGTTAAATAATTAGTCAAATTTCAAAATAAACAAATATTTTTATTATCAACAGTGTATTAATCTTAACAATTGTCACCTGATATTGATACGAACGATATTTCTTTATTACTTTTGTGCGAGCTATAGTATCGATTGTAGCAAACAATTAACCTGCAGATGATCAAAACGAAAATTTTAAAAACATTAGCAGTATGTAATTTAATTTCCGAGAATATTTTAGTTGAGTGATACTTCAAAGATGGCGTATCTGATCAATTTTCAGAACATCTTTAATATTTAATTCAATCCGAATATATTGTAATATACATTTAATATACATTACTAAGATAATTATACAATTATAAATTTACAATAAGATAATTATATAGAATGTGTTGAGACATGTAGTTTAATCCTTGAAAGAAAATGATTATTAGTTATCTCTAGAAAAATTAGGATAGGAACAAAAGATAATAGAATATTTAATAAAAATTAATAAAAATTTAATAAAAATGTGGGAAAAAATAGTTTTGAGAAAAATTAAGAAATTTATTATATACTTAATTGATAATATGATATATTAATATTTAAAATTAAATATTATATTACATCAGCAAACTTATTAAAACATCGAGTCCAAATTATTACAAATTTTATATTATAAAAGAAATAAGTCAGAAAAAAATGTTTATAATTGTTTGAAACACACTACATGTTATATTTCCTTTGTTGTTTATTATTTATGTAAAAAGATATGATAAAACAAATGTTTGGTTTTATTAAAAATTATTTTTATATATACAGAAATAAAATTAATATATAGTTAATGTTTTTTAATTACTACATTAATTTTGAAATCAATGTATGTACACACACACACACACACACACACACACACACACACACACACACACACACACACACACACACACACA